TCAAAAAAAAAAAAAAAAAAGAAGAAGAAAAAACAGGAAAAACCAAGTTTTCCATCGTGGAAACAGAAAATGTTTACCGGAGACGAAGAGGTGCGACGATAAATTCGATTGTAGCGATGTTTCGAGTGACGACGAGTACGACTGTGAAAAAAGTAAGTTAATTCAACGCAAAAATATACACGCAAGAAATCGTAGAAGAAGAAAATATTTAACGAAAAGAAAAGAAAAGGGAGAGAGAGAGAGAGTGAGAGAAAAAATATATTACGCGAGATCCCTTCGTGAAATACCCTCGAGGTATGGAAAAAAATCACGAGGTGGAAAACGAGGCAATTGCGAAACTTAAGTAAGAAAACGTTTAAGGAAACAATCACCGACCGTAACGAATTCAATTATTCTCTTATTTGCGCTCGTTTAATTACGACACCGTTAATTATTCGTGGCCGGACATCGTAGGGGACCGGAAAACGGCTGCGTCCTTCCTGCGAGCAGCCTGAAGGTGGAAGTTACAAACTGGATGGTTGTGGTGAACCTTGCTCCAAGCGTCACGGGGATAAAGTTTCTAGAAACAGCAGCATTCTGACTTACACCTGTCGGGAAAATTACGTTTTGAACGGAACTGGCGTTTCCCAGTTCAATGATGAAATACGTACGCGATAGGTGTCTCAGGTGAGTTCATTGTTGTTGTTGTAGATTTAATTAGATCAATGAAAAATTGGTATGCGATAAATGGATAAATGTTTGAATCCTTCAATTGTTGAAAAAAAGAAAAAATAATTAAACATTTTCCAAGTTACCTTTTTGAGAAGATTTGTGCTTAAAAACTTAAGTAAAAAAGAATGTGGATGTAATTCTTTGATCAATAATTTTACTTACTTTTGTTCAATGAGGAATTAAGCTTTTCCTTTCGTTCTATAATTGATAAAGGAAGAATTGAGAAATCATCTATTTCTTTATTATTTTCTAAGAAGTAATTTGGTTTCAATGACTACAATTTTTCGAATCGTCACTATTTATTTTATATAAATATGTATATATATATATATGTAACAATTGCATGTTTTCGTGCAAGTGTTTTTGAGCAATTATAAACTATGTGCGCGCAAAAGTAATTTGTCTTTCGTTAAATCAAGATTTAACAGAAATTAATTAAAGATTTAATGCAGAAATATAAATTGGCCTGTGAGATGGAATGATTTAAATCTAAAGAATTAAAAATAAGTAAATATATTTGTATAGAGGATTAAAGATTACTTGACGATATATAATTTATTTAATAACGTGTATTTCTTCACGAATATCGAATTCATTTATTGAAGCTGAATTTTTTATGAAATACAGAGAAATTCATTTAATGAAATGTATTACAATACAAATGGGATCGATCAATTCAATATACAATATCGAATATATACCGATTCTACCGTTTACCAATAATTTCTGACTCAAATAATAGCATAGATTTTCGTAAAATTGATTTTAAATTCGGGAATATTTGTTCGCTTCATCGAAATTAAAATGTAATTAATTAAACAGGATTAAATATATATAATTCACTAGTATTTCATGAATTAATTGATTAATTATTATATCGATATATTATTTGGATTATTCGTTCAATTTTTGTGCTCTCCCTATATATGAATAATCCAATATTAATATTTGACTGTAATTAATAAAATTTTAAATATCGCCAGTTATATTATATTGATGCTAATATATAATGATGTATTTTTCCGTATTTTTCATTCATAAATTTAAAACAGAAAACACGCGATCCATTAAACAACACTACTGTGAATATTTTATTTATGTAAGAGAACAATGCATCTTGATCCAATCGAATGAAACCTGGAACGATAGCGAATTTGTCGTGCAAATCGTCTTACAAATTGCCTGTGACGGGTGATCCAGCATTTCGTGCAATCACTTGTCTCGAAGATGGATCATGGGACCATCGTTTCTTCCAATTTCTTCCAGATAATATCGATTTTTACATACTTTATTTTTTTAACTTAAACAAAAACTAATTATTAAAAATATAAATTTTAAAATTTGCTTGGATATTATTAAATATATAAATATCTCTCAAATATTTTTTATTTCCAACAATTTCTTTTCTCGAATAAATTAAAATTTGCAAAGAAATAGATATTTTTCTTTTTTAGATATATCAAATTTTTTTTAAATATAGAAGTAATCAGAACATCGTTTATATCATTATGTAGAATTACACGTTTCATAAATTCTTTTTCATTTAATATCTAGTTTGTTCCATTTTTCATTTTTGTTCTAATTTATTTTATTATTGGTTTCAGAATGCGGAATATTCATTCCACGAGGTAACACGCTGGTCGTGAACGGATTCGATGCAGAATTTGGAGTATTTCCGTTGGTATTTACAGAAGGAAAAAAAAGGAGTACGAGGAAATTTGTGGAGGCTCTCTCATATAAGCAACAATTTAGTCGTATCAGGTAATTTCGTTCGAGAAAATTAATTTTTGCTTTCGAGTCACGCGAACTTGTCTGGCTGTTGCATTTCATAAATCCCTTTAACGATTCGTTGTTCCTTTTTTTCCATTTTCGTAATAAAGCGAATGTTGAAGTGGCTTTACGGGAGAGATTTCAAAGATTTATTATTTTTATTATTCTCAAGTTTCAAAATTATTTCATCCAACTATCAAAAATACTTTGATTCATCGATCACATTTATCACGATATCAGAGAAAAATAATTATCTCTTATCTCTTATCTTATTATTACTTCAAATATTAAACAAGATATTTAAATAAAAAAAATTATTAACCCCCCAATTTCAATGTGCTAATAATATTTTTAATATCCATTGCTCCATCCAATTATTGCTGTACATTTCGCATTTCATTTTCATCATCAAATGAATGATCATATATTTAATATCCACAGGTTCCACCGATCGAAATCGGAGATAAAGGAAAGCAAATATTGCTACCTTTAGCCGCCACTGTTTCTGCAACGGTTTACAACAAAGTGGAAGACAAATCGAAGTATACGATTGCTGTGGACAAACGTTATCGCGATTGGAACGCGAGAATTACGTGGAAAAATCGATGCTGGCCAATATCTCGTTGCCGATATATAGAAGCGAATTCTCCTTTTCCAAGACACTGCCCTTCTCCTTTAGAATTAACCGCCCTTTTTGGTGTCGTTCGATCTTCATGGATAACTCTTGTTCGGTAAGAAAATATTGGAAAGGTGAGATCATTTTACTATTAATTAATTAATGAGGAATGTATTTCGTATTCCAGGATTTCCAAACGTTTCAATTCTGAATTATATCGTCATTCTACTGCAATGTTAAATATCTATAAACGAACTTCTACGTTTGGAGTTGGATTAAAATTTAGAAGTTTCCTGAGCTATTATAAAATAAGTAAAATGTTTAATTTTCTTCAATTAATTTAAGATCCACAATCGATAGTTAATGAATTTTTAATAGTAATTAAGATTGAATTAGAAAAAAAACTGTGAATTATTATGAATAGAAAATCTATTCTTCGAATATTAAAGTCGAATGAATGAAATATGTATATTTGTCTATTCTATTGTTTGAGAAATCATCGTTTCATTTTTCCACCGAGCTCTCCAATTAGAAATATCGAATGATTGGACGTATTACATTGATTAATTTCAGCTGTCGCACAGCTGCATCGTTGGAACGCTGCTTTCTCACCAGATTTCCGGTCTTTTTACTTTCATTTCCTTCTTCGTGACTGGTTTCAGCTGGCTAATTAAGTCACGCCGGATTATATTTCCGTAATTAATTCGCAGCGACGTTGTTCTATTCCAGCAATTAATCTAACTCTCCTCCCTTTTTGATATTTCAATTTTTTTTTTTATTTTAGTTTACATTTTGCCAAGAGAACGTCTCTCATATTTGTGGATAATAAATGATATTAACATTGATTTTCTATTGCAGGTCGTTGGCTGGCTGAGGAAAAAGATCGAGGATCTTTCAATCAGGAAATCACTATTCCATCTGTTCCACATACTCGATGTCAATCTGATAATTTTAATTGAGGATACATTACTTCTGATAAGTTCTGTGCTGATCGATTAAACGGTGAGATGATATAAATAATTAAAATAAAAATTGAAGCAATAGTTGACAAATCATCTTGAGTAAGAATATTTATTATTTTGATAAACATTTAATAATTTAATTATTAATATTGATCTTTATTAAATTAATAAAATTCGATTTTCTTTTACAGCATTTCTTGAGAATATAATAAGATAATGGTAAGATATGCTTTATTAAATTTTTAAATAATTATAGTGACACGTATTAAACGTAATTATTAATTAACAAAAAATCGTAATGAGATATCTATTTGAGAATTAAGCGAAAAAAATTACGTATAATTATTTCCATCAATTTCAAGATTAATAATTAATAATTACATTATTATATTACAAAAATAATTAATCTATAACGCATATTTTTATCAAGTTAAAATTCATTCATCCAAGTCCAGATCAAAATATTCAAAATTTTTACCTTGAAGACTTTCAGACTCAAAATAATCGTATATCGTTACCTGTCTAAATGAGATATTTTCCCATCTGCAATCTTAAAATATTTACAAATCGTACATTCGAATATTTCTTCCAATAACGATATACAAATGGTTCTAACGATTGAACAAAATCCATTATTCGAAATTTCCAAATTCACACGCCCAACAAATCTCTCTCGCGTTAATCACGGTTGCCGCATACCAGTTAATCTCGATCGTAATAAATCGTAAGTTTCAGTTTTCCAGGAGCACGATTTTACACAACCCATGATTTTACTTCTCTCTCTCTCCCCTGGTGGAGGAGAGAATGCTTCATATCCAGCCGCGATATAAACATTCTACATCCAACGACGATACCATAACGTGCAAAGACATTTCGATGATTCGCTAAAAGAAAGAAAGAAAGAAAGAAAGAAAGAAAGAGAGGAAAAAAAATGTTTGATCTACGACAAAAGCACGATGGCTGAAACGGCACGTCCCGCCTCCAACCAACCAAATACCTTTGATATCGGCTCTATCCGCTTCAGGGATCTAAATTAGCACTGCCTCGTTATTTATATCGCGACTCCGTTATTCATGACGTGAACTTTTTTTTTTTTTTTTTGCCCGCTTCCAATGCATTGTATTTCCCGTAGGAATTTCCGAACCCGTGTCGAGATTATCTACGACGATGTTCTGCACCCGTAATCCACGCCGACTTTTTATTTTACAGGCGTTCACCCTTTTCACGAAAGAGATAAATTGAACTGCAGAATGTGTTTACCATTGATACATCTTTTTTTTTTTATTTATGTGTTAGTATTTTAAATTTTATTTAAAGTCGAGGATTGAATATCTTTGATCTTTTCGTTAAAAGAGTTTTTTAAATTTTATAATTAATCGTTTCATTTGTTTTATTATTTATCCGTAGTTTAGATTTGTAATTTTTATCGTTGGAGAATTTAATGAAATCGAAAGTTGAACGATTTCAAAAATTTTTACCTTGTCTTGCTAATTAAATGTTGGATCTTTAGATTGTTCGAGATATTACAAGTTTTTTTTTATTAATTATGGAATAGAATATTATTTCAACGACGCTGTAGGCTTTTCAGGAGCTTGATTTTGTTGTGCATTTTCTCTATTTCATCAATGATAGCATTATTATTTTTTTAGCTTATTTTTGAAACTTTATTTTTCAAAAAAAGAAATTAAATGATATAATCTTGGTGATGTCTTCTTCTTCTTCTGAAATTAAATTGAATTTTTTTCTTTATCAATGCGATTATCATTCCTTTTTAACGTATATAAGTTTATATCAATAATTAAAAAAAATGATTGACGAAATGAGATAAAATTATTATTGCGTAAAAATATTATTTGATATAGAGGATCGATGGAAAAAAAAGACAAAATTAAATTTGATGTAATGAAAATTTGATTACAAATTCCATAGGAAATTTGTTCCATTTGCATTAACACTTAATATAATAATAATTAATTATTTGATTAGCTAGTTTGCAATTATCGTATGTTGAATGAATATATCGCATATGGCCTGGTATATGTTTGCAAGCAATCGACGTTTGCTTTGTGTATTCATACGTTTATGGCTAACACGTGTTTGCCTATTTGTGAAGGCTTACTATATCCATCCAATACTAAAACGGTAGATGGATTGTTTGATAAAATTGATACTCGATGTTTAAAACTTTGTGCGTTTTATGGAAAACGCGAATAAAAATATTGCAAATAAAAGCGATTTATTTTATTTTATTTTATTTTATTTTTTAAATTCGTACTCGTATACGCGGTCTGGGAAATTTTCATATTGATTGTTCATACATTTAAATTATAACAAACCAACAGTAGTAGGTCAAAGTTTGCGTGAATGGTAATCTTCGTGAACGAGATGAGATATTTCAATATTTGACGAATGATTAAAATTATTGTTATATAAGAGGCTTAATGGAAAAAGCACAAAAATGTTACAAATTTTTCGAGCAAACAAATAAAAAGAATTAAAAAAATAAATATAAAATAGACATAACAAATAGAAATAACAAATAGAAATAAATATATGTCTAATTAATTAAATGTACTTTTTTTTAATTAATGTGGAAACAATTGATACAATCATAAATATAGATAGAAAGATAAAAAAAAATTGTTTCCTTCGCATCCTTTATGCAATGTATTATAGCAATATCTTGTATTGATTTAGGAGGAAAAAAAAAAAAAAAAAAGAAAAATGAACAAAGAATTCGAGGAATTACTATTTTGAAATAAAAGACTACGAATGATTAATTTCAATGTTCAGACCAAATTACAGCGTTGTTACATTTACTTCAATTATTTGAATTATTGAATTAAATATTTGAACAGGATTCATTATATTAAATTTAAAAAAAAAAAAATTTTAGTGCAATTTAATTCGCATTTTATAACTTTATGGCAAGTGTAAACAAAATACATACAATATGCAAAACGAAATGAAAATATTTTTCGGCTTGTTGGCAATCTGGTCGATCTTCGATGTTCTCGATGTTTTAGGTGTAACAGAGTCGAGGAATTTTTCTTTCTCCGTCGAGAAGAAGTAAGTGTGACAGATTACGCCTTGATAATTTATTACGTAATAAAAACGAGTGACACGTAGTCGATCGGCACTTTAGATGTTGAGATCGTAGATTAATAGCGAAGGTTTTCCTTTATGTCGAAGGTTTTCTTATAAAGGTGAACGATTTATTTCACAGACTTACAGCACACTAACAGAAGGCATTTCTCACAGGATTGGCAGCATTATGAGCGCATCCTATGAGGCAACTAAAAGTTTGATAGTCAATATGATGAACACGCTACAAAAATTACAGTGATAAAGGGTCATCTTATATAAATTTGATAATAATATCGAGATAAAGAAGGATCTTTACAGTTGTGTTTATTTGACTGTAAATATTTAATCAAACGTTATATATTTGTAACGTTTAACATATCTGTAATAAAAGATATTGTGTAAGTAAAGTACAAGTGGAATATATACAAATCGTTCTTTTATTAAAATTCAAGATTTAAATTATTTTTATTGAAAATTTTTACGAAAGAATAAAAATTCCTTTGTGTTTATGTAAAGAGGAAATAAGGGATATTCTAGATTTTCTTGGTTTCGTAATCTTTAGGTACATTATTGAAGGAAGTAATATCAACAAATGGAAAGTAACTTTTATTCCTCGAGACGCAAAGTATACCTCTGTTAGTATTTCCTTTTGAAACTTTAATGTTTGTTATTCTATTTTTCTACATTGTCCCGAACTATGTGTTTTCTACATCAAAACTCTTCATACACTCTTTAATATATTTTTCTTCAATTGGAAATGAAGAAAATATAAAAGAAAAATATACCGATTGTTGTAATATATTTATAAAATACTTTTGGAGGATCGATTTTAAAAGTCAAGATAACGAATTCGATTATTCAATTAATATAAAAAGAAATACTACATTATATAAAATATATTAAATTATGTATCTATATATTTAATATCATAAAAACAGATTATATTGTATTATATATTCATGTAAAATCTTTAATTTTTCACGAAAATAATTAAACAATTTTGTGATCAAAACCCATTCAGGAAATAGAGGAGATCATCCCATTGAAATCCCTTTTTGTTTTATTCCGATATCTCAATTCGTTGCTGA